TTTATTACAGTCAAATCGATTATTATTATTACTTGGTGGGCAATATATACAAAGTATAGTTATGGGACCAGATTTCGTCTCTAATAAAATACATATGTTCTGGATGGATTCATGAAATACTGTATTAATAACACTGTACTTCAGTCCATGTTTAATTAACATACCTACCCCATTATGAGAATTTTGAGAGATCTTGTGAATGAAATTGTATGATGGAAAATGTGGGATTTTACTATTAGATTTGAGCCATGTCTCATTAAGTAAGCAGATATCTATGTTTTTGTCATTTAATAAATTTTGTAATAAGGCTTTTTTGTTGTGTAAGCTTTGTATATTATATTGAAGCAAATGTAAATACTTATCCATTAAATTAAATGTGATAAAAATGTCTCTCTGATTTTCTTAGAATTTAAAGGTGTTTTTTCCTTTTGGTTGCCTAAAGCAATTAAAGATTTTACAATAGCATTCAGTATTATTTCATTATTTGCAATTTGATTGATATCAAATTCCTTAGAGTTTTGACTTTTATAGTTAAGTTGGGGGTAATTATTCATATCATTATTGGGAGGTGTCGCACTCACCACAGTGGCATAAGATTGCTGTGAATATTTCTTCATATTCTCTTCCATCTTCTGTTTCTTCACTGGACAATCTCGGGATATGGCCAAATGGTTGCCGTTGCAATTGATACAAGTAATTTCGTCTACTTCGCATTCTTTATAGGAGTGATGTCCAGCACATGAAGAGCACATCTGGTTTCCTCTGCAAACCTTGGCTGAGTGATTGTACCTCAGACATTTGAAGCACTGTAAAACTGGAGGAATATATTGGTGAATCTGATACCGGAATAATTGTATATATGCATGTAGAGGTAAAGAAGTTGTGGCAAAAGTTACTGCTACTGTTGTTAAGGGTATTAGCCCCTCGTTAGTTTTTTTCATAAAGCGTTTGACTGATATTACTTCAGCGTCACAAGTTATATTTTTATAAATTTCTTCATTAGACAGTTCTTTGGGAACAAACTTTATTATGCCAATTTTCTCAGTTAGATATGCTGGGATGAAAGCCCGCATGCTGTATTTAGCTAAGAAGTCTTCCATTTTTAAAAAGTAATTTGCTGAAGAGACTTTCTTAAAGGTGACGCCAACTTTATGTGCATTTACTCGGTGAACTCCAGCAATTCCTTTCACATTATCAGTAAAAAGTTTTGTAAGAGAGATTGGGTTTTTATTACCTAGTTTCTCTTGTTGTGTGGATTCTACATACACTGTGTACTCTCCTGAATTATTCTCAATAAATAATCTTTTATAGTTTCCTTTTGTATAAATTTTATATTTATCGTTCTTTGTATTGCTGTTGATTACGTTATTTAGTTTTCGTTTCTTTTTTACCTCTCCTGGGTCCTCCCCATCGCTGGGGGGCCCCATCTTGATATCAAATTTATTTTTCCAATAAAAGTCGCTTAGGAAAACCAAGAAAATTAAATAAAATGAAAATAAAGTTTAAAAGTTAGCGCTCTATTTGACTTCCCGCCAAAAAGTCGTATTGACAAAAAGTGAATTGGTGTTGCAATATGAAAATCAAACATCGATTGGAAAATAATCGATTAATTCACTATATGTAATAGAACTGCAGTAACATTTATTGAATAAAAAAAACTTTAATATACTTTTAGTTAATTTTGGTGCAATTTTGCATTTTTCCTATGTTTTACGGACTACTACGGTTGTTGATTCAACAATGCCCAAATAAATAAATATATATATATTATTATTATTATGTAATTTCCAATGCCCGTAATTGGAAATGTTATATGAAAACCTAATGAAGTTACTAAAGTCATATGCAATCATCATTTAACTTTAACATTAATTTTTAGTACAAACAAATATATAAATTTAATGATTATTTTTGTTGTACATTCTTTTGAAACGGAGTTGTTTAAAGTAAAGTATACACCTCTGGATTAATGCTCGTCCTAGTCTTGGACTGATTGCATACCTCACTTATTACAGTTTGTTAGTGACCGAAAATGAGTCAAAACTTTTCTGTTCACGACCTACCTATGTAGGTACCGTTTTATTTTACGGAATTATATTATTCATTTTCATGCTACTTTATCTCACGTAATAACATTTATTTTGCGAATTAAAACTCGGTATAAACAATAAAATAAACCAACACCATTCGAATTTTGAAACTTAACTCTTTAAGCTTGACGTTATCTTTAGTCGACGCCAGGATTTATAGTATTTCATCTGACTTTTTTGTTAATTAAAAGACTTAATTATATCGGATTTATGCTTTAAATATTAAGCATGTTTAAAGTTGAGTGCTTAATAAAAGTTAGAATTGGGTATATGACGATTTTCTGAAAACTAATTAATTAAAATAGTTGTTTGATACATTATAAACACACTGTCAATATATTACATGAGAATCTGTTCTATTTTCGATGAATATAATTGTTTAAATCTACAGATTCTAAGAAATAAACTTTTATTAGATTATTATCTAACATGATGATAATAGTACAAAACTTATTTTTATAGTGTCAAATACCCATAATGATAAAAATATTAATTATAAATTCGCGTTTTGGGTATTTTCCCTTATAGCTTAACACTTAGGTATGCACTTTCTTAATGTAGCTAATATTCGGGTGTTTCGTCCGTATTTTAAAACGTTCGAATAAGAATATAATAGATTCATTACGTACAGAAATGATAAAAAAATGAAGGAATGAATAATCATTAATCGTCTCCCGTTTAACTAATAATTTCATTTATTTTATTCTGGTAACACTAATGACAGCTGTTTGGTTCGGCTGCGATTTGGCTCCGATTACGTTTCAGTTTAGTAAACGTTCGTTTGATAATTGACGTTAGCGGAATGCAAATTTACAGCAAAAATCGAAACGTAACCGTTACAGAAACGCTATTCATGATCGATCGTTGTAAATTAGTAGAATTGGCCCCCTGAACGAGCGGTAGATAAAAATGTTGGACGATTCAAAAGAACTTTTAAGAAGTCTATTTGAATAAAGATTATTGTGACTTTGACTTTGTATAACTTATGTGCCATCGTTTTTTTTTAATTTGTGATCTTCATTTCTTTAAATCTAATTATATTAAAAAGAAACTAAAAGCAAGTGCCGTACCTACGTTCAAGTTATCACAGTTGGAAGGCACCTCTGATTATTTAAAGTATACACAAATTAATGAAAAAATATTTAACATACTAGGTATGTATATTGTGCAAGGGTAACCGCATCGATATAATTTGGACTTCGCGAGTACATCACAGGTAATAGACAAAATGGTTCCTATGCCCGAAACTTCGACACAAAAGAGGACTATACCTCCCGTATCTGAATTGCACACGAAACTTGTATCAATGGCACTTAACAAAGAAATCTTTGTTAGTACGAGTATAAAGTTAAAAAACAAATTTGAAGAGAATTTGTGTACTAATGAATATACTTTATATATTTGACGTAGGTACCTTTTGAAATCGTTGAGGAACAATTCAATTATTTATGATTTTTTGTATTGCAATAGATCTGATAATTCTCAGCCCATGGCATCTTTGAGCCAAGTAGTAAATTTGCATGAAACTGACAAAAATAATTGATGTAAAATAGCTTACAAGTTATCAGAAACAGAAGTTTCACAAACTTTAACAACTACTGTGTCTATTGCTATTTTGAAGTTAGTGGCTAATAGAAAACCTCCTCAACAATGTTTATATTTTAAATTCTAAATATCAAGTATCAAATAAAATTAGAAGAATTCCAACGAGTTACACCGAAATTGCGATGGTAACTTCTTGTACACTAGAAGATTTAACTTGGATGTTGCCGATTTATTCGATTGAGTGAGGCAGCAGTGTGACAAGTGTTGTGAGTCATTAGCGATTTGATTTCATTATGCATTTAGGAAATATTTTATTGTAAATATTAAAACATATATGGTGAATGCCAAACCTTCCGAAGATCTTGGCCAAACACTAGTGAATGTAGCTGAAATTCAAAATGCGTTCATGTCACACAAAGAAAACGTATCTAAAAAAATTATTAATGAAATCTCTTATATATTTATGTAGGCATTTACTTAAAAAATGCCACCAACAATAGAATTATTGTGAAATAATTAATAATTATATTGCGGAAAAAGTGAAATTGAAGAAGTTAAATATTTCAAAGAAGAAAAAAAGTGATTACTCATTTGAAACTATTACCGACCCACCGCTCGATTTCCAACTATATATCAAGAAAATAGATACCATCTGTCAAGATTATTTTAAGGTTGGCAACTTTTACCATGTCGGCAATGAGCTTCTTGCCAAGATTACGAAAGTAGAATATGGTTTACCATGCCCCTGTGTCCCATTAAAATATTTGCAAAATTTATTTGTTTAATTTAACAATTAACTCTTCAAAAGTGTCATTTGTAATTTTCAATAATATATAAATGATGCAACTACTTGCTTGCCATTGATTATAAGTGTCCTATTGAAGCTATACTATTTTTCTTAGAAAAATAGTGAAAACTTCTTAAACATGTTATGATTACCAGAACCAATATCCCAACTCATGCTGGCTGCGTGTCGCTGTCTCGTTTTCTCTTTGTTTATATAACAGTACATGACTGGATCGCAGCGCTGTAATGTGTTGTCATCATAGGTATTGTTTAGGTACAATATTAATTTCAACAAATCAAAAGGTCTTATAAGTCATATTGTTGTGTGTCAGTAATATTATTTAGTTATATTTGACCAAAATCAATTAACAAGTCTCAATTTAACGTGTCTCTTCTGACATTAGCAATAAGCGGCCAATAGTGTACGTTTACATAAGTAGAATAAAATAACAAGAGAATAATTTTTACATAAGCTGACAATTGGTGTAGTAAACTTATATATTAGCTATCTGGCTAAACGTATAGGTAAATTTTTTGTCGGTGTGGTGTATATTGCTGTGCACTTGACAGCAACAAAAGTTATCTATACCTGTGTTCATACATCACATTACGACTATTAATGTTTTGTTGAACAAAAAGTAAATAAAGTCGATACAGTTCTCCTCCTCACATTTATTCACAAATGAATAAGTACTAGACATCCCTTAATCCTTTCACGACTTGAATCTCGCGCTTCGAAAACTTTTATAAAGTACAATAATAAATTACTTAAGTAAGTAGATTTTTCTCGTAAATCAAAATATACAAATAAATCATCTCTTAATTGAGTTGCCGGGGTGTTCAGTCGCACCGTTTAAATTAACACTCTCCGAGTCTCCGACCCTTTAATCGGCTTGTGGAGCGACCCATTCTGTTTCCCCATTCAGTGTTGGGAGAAAAGGGGGAAGGGGAGTCGTTTAAAAATTTTTTTGGTCTCCCAGTTTTGTGGTAACTTGTTCGCTTTCAAATTCTTCCTCCACTCTCAATAGCACGTCCAGTACTTGCCTCTTGATAGAATTCTGGAATTTCTTTGGTAAACGTTTACTGCTTTGGCATACGCTAGCGAAGAATAGATCTAAGGAGTCTTGATCTGCCCCCGAGTGCCCCTGATCCCACACTTCTGATTCCTCCTCTGATTGGTGCGCAGTTTCCTCCATTTCGTCCATCTTGACGTCAATGTCGTTGTCCTTTACTAGTCTTTGGTTTCTGTAAGGAATACAAAATAAACGTTTGGTAATACTCATCCTTTATATTGAGCAGACTTATCAATTGCCGCATCGAATAAACGTGCAAGTATAAAAGTAAACTTTATAGGAAAAAATAAAAACCGTTTTTTAATATTAATATACAATGTTTAACAAAGTCAAAGATAAAAAATTACCCTGTGATAGAATATATGAACATATGAAAAACAATATAAGATAAGCAGAAACTTGTGAAACACCATTTTAGTTTTATATTCTAGTACATGTGATGTCTTCATGTACCTGCAACAGCAATTTGCACATTTATTTGTGTAAAAATTACAGAGTTCTATAAAGTTACACCCACTTTACCTTGTTTATGTAGTTATGATAATCAGAATAAACATTTTTTTAATAATTAAATATCTTTTCCATGTCAGAAATCTATGGAAGAAACTTAATACTAATAAAAAATAACTTAATGCATAGCAAAATTGAAGACTAAAATAATTCTATACTTATTCATTAATTTCAAAATAAAAATAATCAACATTATTTGCACTTTCAATACAAAAATATTTTTTTTGTAAAAAAATTACATAATTTATTTTATTTATAAAATAAAAAAAAACTTTTGTTCTCAATTAAACCTCAAAACAGACGTAACACCTGCAAGGATCTTTACACTGTAAGATGGTTTATAGTTTCACATGAATAAACGTTCAAGAGTGCGTTGCAATCTTGAACAGGAAAAATACCTATTTGAGTATGAAACTACACACGCTTTTTCGTGTTCTAACTAGGTAGCTTGAGAGTGATATTATTGCGTTACACTAATATTCGGGCTACGAATCAAATCGTTAATTCCCTACAACAAACATTAATGTTACTATAATTTAGAAAATATTTGAAAAAGTCTGAGGTGATGCAGAAAGACATTTATATCGAATTATACAAAAATTGTTTTGTGTAATAGCTCTTACAGGTTTATTCGATGCGGCCATCGTTATGTACGCATAACGTGAGGTTACAAACTGAGACGTCTATACTAATATTTTGATGAGGAAGTTTATTTTACCTTTTATTTAAATGGTAGTTCGATCTTCATGGCCCTTTTTATCCCGTATACACAATGATATGTATAACGACTTGCTTGCAGATTTTTATAACAATATGTATATTATTTATTTGCGAGAGTGTTTTAGTTAACTTTACGTTTAAATTTATGAAATATTACTATTAATAAATATCCGAATATTCTGTAGTTATAACATACAATTGCAATTTGCCGCGCTGTTTATGTAGATAATAAAAATTTCAGAAGAATACCATGCACTTGGTTATATCACTATATTCAACCAAAGTGAATTGAAAAATCACAGATTGGACTTAAGCTTGTTAACATTTTTACGGGCATGAAAGATACATTTTTTAACATTTTCAAAAAAGGATTGATTGTTCATGTTCTCAATTTCTAAATTATTTTATTTTTATGATCTGATATAGTCTTGACTAAATAGAAAAATAAAAAGTTGTAAGTAAACAAAATGAGCATAGAGCTAAAACGTTTAATAAACCATTACTAATGAAATGTCAAAAAGCCCCATCGATCCTACTTCAGCAAAAAAATATCCAAGGTCATAGGTCAAAAATTCAAGTTTTTCCTATTTCCCCATTTTTGAGATATCGCGATTTTAACGGTTGAAATATTCATATTATCTCTCAGCATCACGTGCACAGGGTGCTTTTCGACACTTTTAGATTTATTATCAAATTAGACTTAATAATTTGTAGATGATATCATTTTACCTTCTCATTGTCATGTAAGGTAGGATGAACGCCATTCGGCTCTCAAAACGCCACTTCTTGCAAGGCACCCCGGCCTTCGTGGTCACCCCACGTTTAGTCCTCTTCAGTGCCTGCCTCATCGAGTCCCGCAGGATCTTCCATTCCCGTTTCAAGACTTCACCTGAAGCGATTAAACATAAGAAATAATAACTTTTTATTCTAATCGGCTAATATATATATATATGCTATATTGTGCCTATATATCTATTTAAGAATACCTAAAAGTAATACATTATAATAATGATGATAATTACTAAATAAAACTAAGTTCTATCTATCTATTCAAGCCTTATCTTGGCAGACAGAGCGAACCGAGCGCCACAAAGTACGGTCCTCACATAAATCTTTCGCCTCATCCACTTTCATACAAACATAGGTACTCGTCGGTTTTTATGGCTTCTGACATCACCTTCTAACAGATTGATTTGATCGTGAACGATGTGTTGTGGCCCTCCTCGACTTCGGCATCATTTCACCTACGCGTTTTGACTGTTGTTATCCTTTCAACTGGCAATATTTCTATATGTCCGAATCAACGGAGCATGTTCCTGTTCATTATTACACCGACGGTACTTTCAAGTCAATTCTCTTTATTAATTCTTTATTTTCATTAATTACTCGTTTTTATTTTCATTAATTATTCTATGGTTGGCAAATAGTTATTTACTTTAATAAAATTTGTAATAAACAATGGGTACGTCATCATAAGTACCAATTGTACTTACACATTTATCTGCCTACTTTAGCCAAATACACAAAAATAGCATGTTCGTATTAAAAAAACAATTTAGATAGCGAGTAACTACTAGAAATTATTGATAAGCGTGTAGGTTAGTTACATTACAATACAATACAGAATCTGCAAACATCGAAAGAGTTGTTCAAGCAACGTTGCCACACAAGCATATAGCAAACGATTTCAATTCTTATTGCTCAATAAACAAGGTTTATTACGGTCAAGTTCCTTTACATTACCAAACAAATTAACACTCTATGGCTATGGACTTAAAGTGAAAACTGTATTTAGCATGTGAATAGGTACAATATACAAACTTAAAAGTCTACTCACTGTTCGCACCGAGCTTTTCTGATATTTTTAACCAGCAACGATCCCTAATATCGATATCTCTGTGATTTTCATGTCTTGTGTCGTATAGAACTGGGTATTTTTTCACTTCGTCAATTAACTTTTCTCTATATTGTCTACTGCTCATTTTAGTCATGTTATTAGAGGGAGCGAAACACGGCCTCCTCAAGCGACGTCGATGCGATACTGAGCGAGAGGAAGCGATAATATGCGAGGTTGCCGGTCCGCGCCCTAGACGCGGCCACATCGCCATCGCGCGAGGTGGGCGAGGTGGCTTATCACAGATCAATAAACTGAGTTACTCTAGATGAGATTTAAACACTTCTATTTTAGCGTTTGCACAATAAATTAATTTTGTATCGAATATTATTTTGCATTTGCAAAAACTTAAAGTAGCTAGGTAACATAAAGAAATTATCGATGCAACGGATCTATAGGTATAGAAAACCGTTAATTTTAAACTTTTCATTCTAAATTTCCTGGCAATAATAATGTTATTTATTAATACCGTTTACCATAATATCAAATTTATTATAATGAATCTGTAATAACACGTATATATACATATATCATCCCCCATGTAATGTTACAAATAATATTTATTTTATTTTATTTCATAAGCATCGTAGCTGTAATATTTTACGTATAGTTTTTCATAAATAACTAGGTTTAAAATAAAGGAAAATGCACACTAGTATCACAAATATAAGTATTTCACAAAAAATAGCTTTCATTTCATAAATCAGTGATTCCAATAGTCACACTCTTATCAATAATCTTTTCTCCAGTGTAGTTTTTATTTTTCGATTACCGAATTTTTGGTTGGAAGCATCGATTTATTATTTATAAACTTAAACCTTCGTGGTTTTTTGTAGAACAGGATAATAAATAATTAGTAATATATAGAATATTCGGTAATATATTTAAAAAATGTATATAAACTAACGCTAAGAGTGTAAGAGATTTCAAGCTATAGATCTATAATTAACATTGGATGTCTTTAGTTGAAGAAAAGTAACATCCATAAAAAATATATATAACATATACGTCTTATGTTCCCGTAGCAGGAATAAATATAATGATAGATTAATAAAAAAATATTTCAAATTAAATGAGGAATTGATTTGCTATTTACTAATAATGTAATATTGTGTAGATAAAACACATTCAATATAACCACATGTATTTATAGAATTTATCGCCCAACGGCAATAATAAATCCATTGCGATAGAGGCAACAGTACAGGAAGCCCTCTCTTCAAACAACTTCAAATTTTTGTTCGAAGTGTCCTAATTCAATGTTTAAAAGCGACCGTCGCATCTATGTTGTTTATACTATGGTGCGCAGTTGTCAGCTCGCTAATGTACTGCCGCTGCTCGTTCGCGGCCGCGGCCGACGAGTCTTGCCGGTCGGCTAACTTGTAGCCGCTTGTTTAAAGTAAACATCGCACCAGATGCGACGTTATTTGCCTGTGATATGATGAAATGTGGGTTAGGATAGGAAATATAACTAAACAAAAGTTATAGGCATTTAAATTGATAGCTTTGATTAGGCTTTGCATTTGTTTTCTTATAATTTAATTATGGTATTCTGTGACTTCGTTATCTAATGAAGAGAGATTCCACTGGTCTCTTCTGTATCAAATAAAACAGAAAAGAGCAGCTCTTGCTGATTTTTTGTCGGTTCTTATCAGTGCAAGGAATTTTTGTATAATAGGTATTAAGTGTTTGTATGTTTTGTGTCTTTTTATTTTACTTTAATCTTATATCATTCGAGTACAATTCTAAAAAAATATTAATGAAATATAATACATAATAATATAAAGAAGAAATATTTGATTGTTTGTTTGTTTGCATTGAATCGGCTCCGAAATTACTGGATAGATTTTAAAAATTATTATTTGCCAATAGGATTTACATTACACGCGGGCGGGATGACATGGGATATTAAAATTTTGATGAAGTCGCGGCAAAGTAGTTAGATTACAATTACAGTCTTTTATCACACAATATTTATGTACTTATATTCTATGTATAGGTATGTAAAAGTCAAAGCTGACTTACAAGCAAAACGCAAATTACTGAATGGATCGAGCTGAAATACCATACCATAATGTAAAATGACGCGGGTTGTTAGTAAAATAGGTATTTAGAAGTTTTATACTCCTAATTTAAAATTTTTGTATTTCATTACTATTTACGATCATCTATAATGTAACTTGCCATTAAATATAATTTAACTAAATCAACAAGTCAATAATATAGTTTGTAAAAGTATAACTTCATTTGTTTTTCATATTGTAAAATATGTTTCATTCATATTTTACTTGATATTGAGAAAGAAATTGAGTACGTTATGTTTCATTTTGGGTAATAATGGCTGGCCAATGTTACTGATACATTATTGTTCACAAAACAAAATTGTCGAATCGACCGGAAGGATTGTTCGATATAATGCAATAACACGGTTATAAAATAACAAAATTAAATTTTAGAAAGGCGCCCGTAAAATTCAAGGCTTATTTTGATTGCAGCTGGAATAATGATCAAAAATTCAATTTAAAAGCAATTTGTTTTCAACAAGCGATCGTATCTGAGGATCTAATATATTAACAGAAAAAATAGACGCAAGGAATACGGTAGGAGGTGACTCAAATGACCCCTAAAACGGAATAGACGCTGATATCATTAAATCGGTTCCAGACAATAGGTTTTGTGGTAAAAAGCTGTGTGAAATTGAAACAAAAGCAATTCTCGATCACAATTCTCGTAGAGTTCTCATTACCGAAGGCTTAGGAGATAATGAGACGTGTATGGGTTATCAATCATCATTATTTGTGCCCTGAGATGTAGACGACGTAGTATCGGAGCCGCCAACTGGTGCGATAGAAATAATTACGAAATGTGATATCGTGGGATCGTTCATTGTCTCAGATTAATGTAATCCAAGTAACGTTGCTTGTCGCTATAGTATTCCTCTTGGTTGTCCCGAAAACATTTGGACTAGCATTGCTTAGACATAAATATGCTATTATAGTAGCATATTCTGTTCCAAATAACATTAAAGCGAAACAAATATAAAAAAATTTAAAAAGTGAAAAATAATACTTATCTTAAAAAGCGGTTATTTTTTTTAAGAAACATTGAAGTCGGACTGAGGTTTTCTGTAGTTAATTAAATATTAAACGATCGACTTCAATATTTTTTGAAAAAATAACCGCTTTTAAGATAGGTATTATTTTTCACTTTTTAAAAATTGAAGCCGGTTCCATTTTTAAAAGGTTTTATTTAATACATTTTAGTGATATTTTGAGTTTTGGGGTAACAAACAATACGCATATTTAATGCAAATTTAAGACTTATATGGTTTTCTCATAGATGTCATTATCAGATCTGGACCAAAAAAAAACAGTCGAATGGAGAACATCCTCCTTTTTTTTGAAGTCGATTAAAATATGCCAGCCGCTACATTATTTGTTTACTTATAATTATTGTGTGAAATTAAAATAAAGTTTTTAAGTATAACTACATTGACATTTTGTTTTTATCGAGTCACCGTTATGATCAGACGTGTCGATTAATTCAATTAAATTATTACTTATAAATCTTGTCCTAGCTCTCCACTACGCAGAAGTATATTTGTCTTTGTCAGTTGTAGCGTTGAGTGAAATATATAATGATATGTATGTTTCAATAAAGAAAAAAAAAATGTTTCCTTTAAATCGTAGCGCATTAACGCGCCACAGCCCTCAGCCCGCGACAACGCGTCAACCCTTCGCGCCCGTGCACATGCAAAAGGAAGAGGAACCTCCAGAAATGATGTCTCACACACCCCAAGATTCAGAACTGTGAATTTGTCAATGCAAACTGGAACATTTTCGGAAAAATTTAAAAATAAAATATGAAACCGTTACATAAAAAGGGTGATACTACTGGATTAGATAATTATAGACCAGTTATCGTGTTTCACATAATAAAGCTGAAAAGTTTGTTTGTTTATATGAACTCGCTAATCTCAGCAGACTCTTTTTTTATGTTGAGTAGTCGATTTATCGAAGAAGGCTATATTGCATCACGTTATGACTTATAGGAGTGGAGCAGCAATGAAAAATGTTGTAAAAATGGGAGAAAATTTTACTTCTTGAGAGCTTTCCTTGCGTAAGCTGCGTAAACGGTGAAAGGTACACAAATATCAGTATTATGAAATTGACACCATTAAAAAGTTCTAAAAGAAAGTTCTCAAGAGCATATGTCTATCTTATATCTAAAAAAACACATAAAGAAATTAAAATGGGAGTAGAAGTTCGTATAGGGTAAGGACTCATTATCGTTACCATAGGAAACATTGTTTACAATTCAATTTGCCACTGTAATTATATTTCATGGCATCCTTCTCCAAATTCATTATTAAATGCGTAGGATTAAATAATTTTAAATAAATAAATAAAACTTTTAGTTGTAATGTCTTTCCAAGACATTAATTATTATTAATTTTATTCTAATATCGCGGATATTATGCTATTAATACAATTGAATATTTGTATTCCGTATCGTGATCCTTGATAGTTAACCAATTCCTTGGGTTTGTCTACAGCCGCACTGTTTAAAAACGTTGTGATGGTTAGAGAGTTGATGGACGTTTCTCCTCTTCTTTTACCCTCTCGTTTACGAAATATACATTATAAAAAAACCTCAATATTTTTTCATTAGTTCACACAAAATCTTCTCTATTTAGACTCGAAAAAAAATAGGTGTGAATTTAAAATCGTTCAAGCAAATGTGGCTTATATTGGTAACTGTCTGGTAATCTCCAATTATATGATGTAATGAGCGACAAGAAGAATCGTTTAATTATTCCATACTAATATTATAAATACGAAAGTAAGTCTGTGTATATGTCTGTTATGCACTAACGCCTAAACCACTAAGCGGAGTTGACTAGAGACAGGACATATGTTACTATACACTGTGACTAGCTGACCCGACAGACAACTACACAGTATCACAGTAATAATGGTAGCTAATTTTGTTGCACAAACTAGACTATAAATAATGGCAACTCAATGGAATCTCAACTACTTACATTTCACTATTGTACTATCTACCTCAACTATGAATAGATAATATTATCAATACAAAAGCTTGAATAATAATATACGGAACAAGTGGATTTTCTTTATTTGTTAAATTTCACGGGAAACATATTTTCTATATACACCATTGTATTTTCTAGGACCGTTTGTATCAGCTATATATTATTAGCGAGGGTTAGATCTTGTTGTTATACTTACTGTGTTCTTAGAGACAGCAATACGATCCCTGAATTACATATTTTTTTACAACCCATCCTTCG